GACAAGTAGACGATAGTATTTCTAATTACCTAGCGGGTGCGATAGTGATCAGGACCTTGTGCTGTGGTTTAATCTTGAGTTATGGTGTGGGTCACACACACAACACACAGCACACAACACGAGACACACACTAGTCCATGTCAGTTGTTGGCGTGAAAATTACATGGCGAGAGCTGATTCTGCACGAGGTCATGATGGTGAGTTGTATGCTGAATGGATGTCACACACACACACACACACACACAAAGATAGTTACACACAGCCCACACACATATTGCAAAAAAAATGCATGTAGTGCAAAGAGAGGAAGACAAACAAACATGATATTTCAAAAGTTGCATAAAAGGGGGGGGATACGACCTAAAAATGTTGCAAAGGAACAAAAAAAGGTATTCATGTGGATGTTCAATTGCACGTTACACAAGGGACGTAGGAATACTATTTGTAAATCTTATGTTGCATGCTTGTTGCAGATGGTAGGGGATACATGTCTAATATGATGTAGGAAACGTGTCATGACTGGACCAACATTATATATTCTGAATTACCCGCTGCATAGTGAAACGCAAAATAATCTAATAAGATTATTGCGCATGCTTCAAAAATTAGGGGATACGTACCTACATCATCTAGTAAAACAAATAAACAAACAAACTTTTCAGGGATACGTACCTACATTACTTATTAAACAAACAAACAAACTCATCAGGGATACGTACCTAAATTACTTATCAAACAAACAAACAAACTCATCAGGGTTACGTACCTAAATTACTTATCAAACAAACAAACAAACTCATCAGGGATACGTACCTACATTACTTATTAAGTAAACAAACAAACAAAGTCATCCGCATTACACTGCATATCAAAAAGACACACAAAAAAGAGAATCTATGTTACTACGCTTGTTGCATAAAAGGATGCGTCGCCATTGCAATGCTCGTTGCATAAATGTATAAAGGACCAACTGCAATCAAATATGTATTTTGTATAAAGGAGGGGATACGGACCCATACCATGTGGAAAAAAATGTTTATATTGTATGATTCATGTTACTGTGCGTTATATAATAAACACGGATATCCTTAAATACTGTAATACATGTTGGATTAATGTTGAACTATGTGGATATTACAGAAAAAAACACGTTGCATTAAATAAATAAAGAACGTTGAAATTGCAGGGCACGTTGAGGGATACGACATATACATATACACTGCAATGGATATACGTAAATATTGGCATACACGTTGCACCGATGTTGAGGTATTAAACGTCGCATTAAACGACAGAGATACGTTTATACTGCAATAAACAATCGAGATATGTAGGTATTGCAATGCGCGTTGTACAGGCGAAGGGATACGTACCTAGTTTATATATATAGGAAGAGATACAGACCTATTTGATTTGTAAAAAAGGCGAAGCGGAGATGGAACAGTAGAGGAGAGAGGGAGGGAGAGTAAGAGACGGAAGGATAGATAGGGGAGAAAAGGAAGGAGGACAGGAGGATGGCGAAGGGATACGCCCTACATTATATATAGAAGGGATACAGACCTATTTGATTTGTAAAAAGGCGAAAGGCGAAAAGGAGATGGAGCAGCAAGGAAGAGGGAAGGGAAAGAAGGAGACGGAAGATAGATGGGGGAGAGGAAGGAAGGAGAAGGAGGTGGCGAAGGGATACGCGCCTTACATTTTATTATATTTTAGGAAGGGATACAGACTCTAACCTTGATTGTAAAAAAGTGCGAAAGGTACTGTACAATTTTACTAAGTGTACTTATGTTAACGGAAGGGTATACGTACCCTACGATCTATATAGGAAGGGAATACAGACCTATTTCATTACAAAAAAGCGATACGTGCCTACCTTTTTTTTTTTTTTTTTTTTTTTTTTTTTTTTTTTTTTAAAAAGATAGGGATACTACTTTAAAATTTAAAGGAAAGGGATACGTACCTACTATTATGTATAAATCTAGGAGGATACGCACCAACATTTTGTCTAAAGCAAGGGATGCATACCTAACTGATGTATAAAATAAGGAATGCGTATCTATATTTTCAATAAAAGAGGGATACCACGACCGAACGCTAACATATTACAGACAAAGGAGGATAATAGAGTAGAGAGTAAAGGCTACCAGAATGTGATACAAAGAGGGGATACATGCCTACCAGATGTATAAAGAGGGGATACATTACCTACCTGATTTGTATGAAAAGGAGGGGATACATACCTACAGATGTATAAAGAAGGGGATACCATACCTACGCTAGAACTGTATAGATAAGAGAGGAATACATACTACATATGTGGACGCACTGTGCTGCAGACGCCCGCTGCGCCAGCAACCGGGGATCGCATCGTCCAACGTCCCCCGCATGACACAGTACACTGAAGCTGCATCGACATATGACGTCGGTGGTTGTGTTTTGGATATACGAAGAAAATAAGGATGTTTTACCGTCTTCTGTTGCATGTTTTTTTATCCTTTTTTTTTTGCACACACACACAAACACAAACCACACATATATACACTACATATATTAACAACACATTACAGTCTTAGGTTTATTTTAAATTAATGTCGACATCGAATGATCTCTAATCATATCGCAAAACCTGCACACAGAAACACGAGAACACACACACACAATATAAGAGACACTACACACACAGAAACACAGAAACACTACACAGCAAGCACCAGTTCATTATCATTAAACAAACACACACACACTACACTAATATATAGAATATCACCAGTAATGCACACGATACCATCACGTACAATGTACACAATCTAGTGCATAATGAAGTGCAACAATCTATCAAATTCACTACGTTTTTTTAAACGAAGAAAAGATTCAATATCCCGATCTACCCCACACATCCAAAAAAAGGAACGCAAAGGAAGCAAGGTCGCCATTATCCGGGGGGCCAGACGCACTACGAAATTTGGCTCTGAAAGGAACTGCTAATATTCACGCCCGATCAGACGTAAAACACAAAAGGATGGCGTCGTTGTTTCGCGTCATCCTGTCGGAGGTGGCTGTTTGATCGTAGTAAATAGCGGGCCAGTATCAGTGACAGTCTGCCCGCGGAATGCCGATATCCGCCTCGGCTGGCGCGCTGCGGCTGACGCGTGGCGGCTTGCGCTGGCTGCTACCTGTGTGTGTGTGCTGTGTGTGTGGGGGGGGGGGGGGTAGGATGGAGGTGGGGGACGGGGGAGGGGTGTGAAGGAGAGTGTGTGTGTGTGGGGGGTGCGTTGTGGGGGGAGGGGGTGCGTGTGTAGGGGGGAGGGTGGGGGTGGGGGTTGCGTGTGGGGATGAGGGGAGGGGTGTGGGAGAGTGTGTGTGTGTGAGTGGGGGTGGCGTGTGTAGCGGGAGGGGGAGGGGGTGTGTGGGAGGAGTGTGTGTGTGTCGAGGGAGGTGTGTGTGTGGAGGGGGGGGCGTGTGTAGATGGAGGCCGTGTGGCAGAGAGGACGTGACACGGGAGAGTGGGCTCCTGTGGGGGGCGAGGTACAGGGTTATATGAGATTGATGTGTGTGTGGGAGAGTTGTGTGGGGGGAGGGGGGTGCGTGTGTAGGGGAGGGGAGCCGGGGGGTGCGTTGTGTGTGTGTCTGTGAGGGATTTTCTCTTAGTTTAGATGAAGAGAAGAAAAAAATAAGTCTTATCTACTCTCTCTCTCCTCTCTTCTCTTGTGTTCTTTGTTGTCTCTCTCTCTCTCTCTCTCTCTTTTCCTTCTATCCTATGCTACATACAAGAAAAAAAGTATACACACACCACACACACATATATAAGATGCATACAGTATATTCACTAATCCTTACCCCCCCCCCCTCTCCACACAGAAGCAGAAGAGGGAAAAAGTGAGACTGAATGAACGGAGATGAAGCAACAGGGGAGAGGGAGGGAGGGGGAATAAGAGACGGAAGGATAAATGGGGGGAGAGAAGGAAGGAGAAGAGGAGGATGGGAGGGAATGGGGAGGAAGGGGAAAGAAAGGAGGAGGGAAGGAAGGAGAAGGGAGAGAGAGGAAAGAGAGAGGAGAGGAGGGAAGGAGAAAGGGAGAGAGAGAAGAAAGAGAGAGGAAGGGAGGGGAGGAGGAAGGGAAGAGAGAGGAGAGGGAGGAGGAGAGAAGGAGAAAGAGAAAGAGAGAGAGGAGAGGGAAGGAAGGAGGAAGGGAGAGAGAGAAGAAAGAGAGAGGAGAGGGAGGGAAGGAGGAAGGGAGAGAGAGAAGAAGAGAGAGGAGAGGGAAGGGGAGGAGGAAGGGAGAGAGAGAAGGAAGAGAGAGGAGAGGGAGGGAAGGAGGAAAGGAGAGAGAGAAGAAAAAGGAGAGATGGAAGGGAGGAGGAAGGCAGAGAGAGAAGGACGAGAGAGGAAGAAGGAGGAGGAGGAGAAGGACGAGAGCAAGAAACCGGGAGCCACATAAGGCAATAAAAGTAAACAGAAGCAGAAGCAACGCACAAGCAAGCATAAGAAAGAAGGACTCAAGCAAAATAAAAAAAAATTAAAAAAACAAACAAACACACAAGAAGCCCGAGCAAAACAGAAGCAAAAGTAGATCCACAAGAGGAAAAAAACAGACAAACATAAAAACACACAAGCAACAATAGCAAACACACAACCGCAAAATCGCACAAGCAGACAATACACAGACACACATTTCACAAAATAAAACATATCATCACACAATATCACACAAGCAAACAGTAACAAACACACAACCACACTAACAAAAAAGCAGACAACCACACGCAAAACAGACAATAACACAGCAGACATCCACAATCCCACAAACACACAACCACGCAATCCCACAATCCACAACACACAACCACGCAATCCCACAATCAATCCCACAAACATACAACCACACAACCCAAATCCCGCAAGCAGACATCCCCACCCACCCCCCCCCACCTCCCCACCCGATCCCGGCCGCCCAGCAGGCCCGCGAGCGGCTGCGACGACCGGACCCGCCGATGGCTTACCATACTTGGCGCGGCGAGCCAGGCAGGGCGCAGGGTCAACGCAGGGCAGGTAGCGGCACCCCTGCAGGACGCCCTCGCGCGCGCACTCGCACACGCGCCCACACCTGGCGGATTCGGGGCTGCTGAGGGCGGGGAGGGAAGGCAGACGGAGGATTAGCGCTGGGGATTGGCGATGGGCGGCGGGGATTCTCATTCGGGGGCGGGGGGTTGGGGTTAAATGGTCTGAGATTGGGATTGGGGGAGTTGTGCTCGAGGCTAAAGATTAAGAATGATTAAGTTAATTATTAATAATAATATTAATAAGTTAATGATTAATAATAATTAATCAATTAAGAGATTGGGACTTGGTAGTTTGATAAAGAATGGGTCGTTAATGCATTCATGATTCACTAAATTAAGGTTCATTCACTATAATAGATGAATAATGTCTTTGATGCATTTTTGACTCATTAAATCAAGGTTTATTCACTATAATAAATGAATGAAGTTTTTACACATTTTTGGCTCATTAAATTAAGGTTCATTCACTATAGTAGATGAATAATGACTTTGAAGCATTTTTGACTCATTAAATCAAGGTTTATTCACTATAATTGATGAATGAGGCTTTTATTTTGTAATAAAGGCTCATTCATGAAAATTAATGAATGAATCTTATATCAAATCAATTTAACCCAGACTCATTTATCACATAAAATCTCATAATAAATCAAGATCAATTTATCAAAACCTATAAAATCTAATAATTTCAGTTAGATAAGACTCACTAATTATGAAAGATAGATGTATCTTATGGTAAATAAACTTAAATTAAGAAGTCTATCTATTTGTTCACTTTTTTATAAGCATTAATTTGTTATGTTTTGTTCAGGATGTTCAGCAGAACATGAGAGGAATCGCCTCGTCATGCGGCTCTGCTTCCCAAGGGCGGAAAAAAGGGTGATGAAGATGGTGATGATGATGGTGATAAAGATAATAAATAATTTATATATATATATATATACTTATATAATATATATATATATATATATATATATATAATAGTGATGACAATGATGAAGACGATGAAGGTGATGGTGATAAAGATAATGATTAAGATGAAGATGGCGATGGCGACGTCGAGGCTCACCTGACGGCACGCTGACGAAGGCGCGACGGCACGGACACGCTGGACACCTCGCCGAGCGCGCACGCGGCACGCACACGTAGGGGGGCAGGGCGGCCGGCGGGCACTCGGGTTGACGGAGCAGACGTGGCGCGGCGGGCACGGGTGCGGGCGGCACGGGAAGGTGGGCACTCGCACGGCGGCTCGCGCGGCCGCGGCCGACGGCGCCAGGAAGGGCGCCAGCGTCACGCAGGGGCTGCCGGGGCGGGCTGAGGGCGCTGCACACGGCGCCGCGGCTGCGGCGCTCTCGCCGCCCGAGGCGCCCGCACGCACCTGCGGGGGAGAGGAAGTCCTGAAGGAAAGGCTTTCTTGGGTCACTTGAGGGTCTCTGTCTCGTCTTTCTCTCTCTCTTCCTCTCTCTTCTCTCTCTCTCTCTCTCTCTCTTCTCTCTCCTCTCTCTCTCTCTCTCTCTCTCTCTCTCTCTCCTCTGTCTTCTCTTCTCTCTCTCTCTCTCTCTCTCTCTCTCTCTCTCTCTCTTCTCCTCCTCCTCTCTCTCTCTCTCTCCTCTCTCTCTCTCTCTCTCCTCTCTCCTCTCTCTCCTCTTCTCTCTCCTCCTCTCTCTCTCCTCTCCCTCTATCTCTCTCTCCCTCCCGCCTCCCTCCTCCTCCTCCCTCCCTCCCTCCTCCCCTCCTCCCTCCCTCCTCCCAACCTCCCGCTCCCTCCCTCCTCCCTCCCTCCCTACCCCTCCCTTTCTCTCCTCCTCCCTCCCCCTCCTCCCCCTCCCCGAGCACCGACCTGGAGAGCAGCCTGACGCAGTCCTCCCTGCAGACGGCGTGGGCGAGGGCGCGGGCGTGGCACGGGCGCAGGTGCAGCGAGCAGGCGACGGCGCGCCACATGTCAGGCTGGCACTCCTTGACGCCGCGCAGGGGCACGGCCGCCGTCAGCCCCGGCAGCGTCAGCGTCAGGCTGTCCTGCCACAGCTGGAAGTCCTTGCGGGCGGCGTCGTCGGCCCTGGGCGTGCACGAGCGGAAGAGGGCGTTGGGCCGGTTGTTGAAGGTGGCGCAGAAGGCCATGCCGGCGCAGCCCTGCTGGCACGGCGCGTCGGCCTCGGCCAGGCAGGCGGCGAGGGCGGCCTCCTGCGGCCGCGCCAGGCAGGCCGAGTGCAGGGCGTCCCACGCGCGCCCCCACTCGCGCGAGAATGCGCGCCCGCACAGCCCGCGGCACTCCGGCGACGACCCCAGGCGGCAGCAGCCCAGCTTGGCGGCGTCCAGCCC